CGTAGTCTTCTTGTAGTGGTGATCATAGTTAAACGCGACTCGACTCCACACTACAGACTAATCACAATAGCTGTAAGGCAATAATATGCTCACAACATTCCAGTTAAGAAGTATTAGTTACAATTACGGGTATAAGTGTGACAATGGAGAGATTCTCTTCAACCCTAATGGTATAGTCAAGATTTAAGTTAGTTTATTTCAGTTGACAACTCATAAAAACCTGTATCTTTCCCATGTGAACTGAACGATAAAGAAGCAATAGTATTGTTTTGCTTACCATAAAGTCTAGAAAGTACTAACATTCAGTTTTAAGCTTCCTTTATTCTATGACTTATAGGTTTTCGTTTAGTGTATAAATTACCATCATATTCTCTACCGTTATGCCCTAATTTGGATATAATTGTATTTTGCTCATTGCCTGCTCGCTATGGTCATGTTAATCATATATTTATTTACGTATTAAAGTCAGAATTTTCAATACAACTATCAAGATAGTTCTACTGCATGAGACGGAAACTTGGAGAACTACGAAATCCATCATTCAGAAGATACAAGTGTTTATTAACAATTGTTCATGGAAAATACTTCAAATTCATTGGCCAGACACTATCAGCAACAACCCATTGTGAGAAAAAACAAACAAGATCCCATCAGAGGAAGAAATCAGGAAAACAAACACTGAAAATGGATAGGACACACATTGAGAAAAGCACCCAATTGCGTCACAAGGCAATTCCTCACATGAAATCCTTAATGCCAAACGGAAAAGAGGAAGATCAACGAACAAATTAACTCCAATAAATGTAAACAGACATGAGAAGAACGAACAACAATTCGACAAAACTAGAAAGGAAGATCCAGGACAGAGTGTGTTGGAGAATGCTGATCGGTGACTTATGCTCCTCCATTGGGGCTCACAAAAGTAAGTAAGTAAGTAAGTAAATAAGTAAATGAATCACGTTATAATTTATAAATTACCGACTATATATTAACGATACAACTTCTATTTAAAACAAACTATAGAATACTGTTTACTTATTGTTACTATAATATATATGGACTGATTGACACTATAGTTTATATTACTGAAGAAGGGTAGGCACTTAGCAACAATAACTTACTTTAAACCTAAATAGAAATAAGTATGATATATTGAAATTAGAATAAATCAATTGATTGAAACATGATACAATTCCCTAACAACAAATATGTACATACTTATAGAAAAAAATACCCAAATTGATCGTTCTCTTTCTCTCTACGTATGGTGTATGCTACTTATGTTGACAGATATAAGTAGTATGTAGAATCAATCGGAAATGAAATATCTATGAGTAGAAGATGAAGAAGATTGAAATGAAAAGAAGAGAGCGAGAGAGATGGAGAGGAAGAGAGAAAGGGAGAAGAAAACTGAAAATCATCAAAATAACAATAGGGATAAAAAAAGAGGTAAAGTTTTTAAGAGACAACTCAAAGTAGATGTGTAAATGATTAATTTAATGTATGGTTTACATATTTTGGAATCATTATCAATGAACAAGGAGGTTCAGATGGAGATGTAAAGGCGAGGATTGGCAAAGCAAGGCTTGCATTCCCACAATTGAAGAATATATAGAACTCAAAACAACTTTCAAACAATATCAAAGTCACTATCTTCAACACGAATGTCAAGACAGTTCTACCGTACAGAGCTGAAACTTGGAGAACTACTGCAACCATCATCAAGAAGTTACAAGTATTTATAAATAGTTGTCTACACGAGATACTCAACACGCATTGACTGGACACCATCAGCAACAGCCTATTGGGGGAGAGAACAAACCAGCTTACAGCTGAAGAGAAAATTAGCAAAAGACGATGGGAATGTATAGGACATACATTGAGGAAATCACCAAACTGCATCACGAGGCAAGCCCTGAAGGGAAGAGGAAAAGAGGAATGTCGAAGAACACATTACGTTGGTAAACGGAAGCATATATGAAAAGGATGAATAATAACTGGAAAAAGCTGGAAAGGATTTCCCAGGACAGGTTCCAAAGGCGAGTGCTGGTGGGCGGTCTATGCTCGTCCACGAGGAGTTACAGACGTAATTACGTAAGTTTCATATTTTACCATAGCACTCTGTTATTTAGGACTAGACAATAAGTTGGTTGTCCCTATTACGTAATTGTTCACTTCATAAGCAGATATGTTTATAGACTTCTAACCCTATTATGGGATTCATTAACACTGACCACACCCACGTAGTGATTAACCTCTTTGCTAGTTTCCAACTTCATTACATATATACATCATCAGTTGACGACAGTTTCTACACTACTTATTATTAATCAGTAGCTTGACCGGTAAAATTACAAATTTAATGAGTCTCATTGTTACGTTCAGTAAATGTTCGATCATCATAGTCAGTAATAATGACCTACTCCTAGTCAAACAAGCAATAAAACCTAAGGAACGCTAGTTAGATATTTTTCTGTATTGCAAAATTCTCAGAAGAATAAGTATATAACCCCACAATGAGTTGAACCCAAGATCTTCAGCCTAGCATACAAACGTTTATCAACTCTCTATAGTTATTAATCACGTGCTAACTAGTCACCACGTTCTAATCAGAAGCCATGACTAGTGAATTTTAACCATGTTAACTTTGATCTAGTTACCCATTAGATAGATTGAAAGATGACTGATTGGCATTACAAATTGATGGATGTTAAAGATGTAAACCATTCGATGAAGTTATTTTTATTCAAAGTGAGCTGTCTGGTTAGAATTTATGTAATAACTTAGGGTGCTGTCATCAATGATTAAAGAATAACTCTCTATATTCTTTATCTGAATATCATTTGTCATGTACAATTTACAATAGCCATTTAAAATACAATCAAGTAATATCTTATCCTATCTATCAATTACCACTTAACGTACGTACCTCTCGTTTTTGGCCTCTTTATTGTCATAGGTAATTTCAAAATTGTAAATGAACCGATCATCAGACGCAATCATACAGATTGAAAGATGTATTTGTAGTTTACATCAAGAACTGACTGATCTTAGCTAGACTATCATTTAAACTTTGGAAATTCTGCCACCTTCACAAATCTCTATATCATAGCAATAATCATATGTTCACTAATAACTAACTTGGAAATACAACTCATGAAGTACTAATGCTAATCTATGACCAGTGCAGTTCAACCATGTCTGATGTGATATAGTTATCTAATTTTATGCAATGGATGAGGGTTGTTTACAATCTCGAATCGATTAGATATGGACACTTATAGTATATATATAGTCTAGAAGTCAAGCGTCCACGTGCGATACCAACAGTGCTGAGTTCAATTAATCCTTGATCCTGAAGTTTTATGTGTACAATTCGATGAAGTCCAAGACAGGGTTAAAATAATTATCTAATGCTTTTGTGATGTGCGCTACTGATATACACATAAGTAGTATATAACGATAGTCAGGAATAAAAGATCGAGCAGGAAAGAATGGGAAAGGAAAGCAATCGGTATGAAAATGCATGACCAATGAATTCTGAGACGAGGGACTGATATTTGCAAAAGAAACAGTCAAGTTTGAAACAATTGGTTCCTATTTTGGTAAATGAAATATTTACTGTATGATTTTCACATTTTAGTGAAATATTCTGTTATTTTGTGTTCAAATACATTCAATTGTCCCCAATCGTGTTCTTTGTTTACTACACTTTTAGGTTTTTTATACTTATCTAATGTATAGTATTTGACAGAATATGTACAAATCTTTAAGAAATTTTTTGATTAAGATCAGGAACCGATTGATGTTAGGCCACCATTGAAGACCTAAAAGCACTGGATGGTCGTTTCATCTTATTGTGGGACTCCTCAGCAATGCGTATCTATGATCTTGAACCACGAGGTTTGAACCAAGGACCAATTGGTCTCGCGAACGAACACTCAATCTCTAGACCGCTGAGCTGGATTCAACGATGTTATTGTCTAACCTCAAACAACCCACGATATTGCGGCGGCGTCCACCATTGTCATCAGTGAATTAATATCTCACAACAGACCTGACTGATTTCCACTGGTCACTGCTTCTCACTAAAACTCCAGTAAATAACTCTTGATGTCAATTACTAATGAGCAAATGTTGATTAGCATCAGAAAGGGTTTTCTGTATATCATAATAATTTCAACAGTTTAGATCATGAATTCATTGAAGCTAGATCACCACAGAAAACCTGGAATCAATGAAGGGCTGTTCCAACCTATTGTGGAATTCATCAGCAGTGCACATCCACGATCTCGGACACAGAACCTATTGATCTCACGTACGAACGCTTAAACTCTAGACCATTGAGTCGGCCGGAATGTAACGATATTAATGTATCACCTCAACCAATCTATGAAATAGCGCAATCATCTTTCATTCAACTGATATAGATATCTTTCTCTATTCCCCACGGACTAGCTCCACTGGTCACAACTTCTCACTGGAAATTATTTCAGTTGAACATATTATAGAAACAGAAATAAAAATCACTTTTTAATTTTTATTAATATTTATTCATTAAAATCATTAAAATTTTTTTATAATTTCACCTTAAATCAATAAAATAAATTAATTCAATTATATTCACGCCTATATTTAAATTAACATTCTGATTGGTTAAAATTGTCAAGGTTATAATAATTGGAATTTTCTTATTGGTTAATTAGCAATAGACTCATATCACGCCTATGAATTATGATTGGTTAATTTATAAAATGAGGCTCAAATTTTAAAAATAGAAATATATAAATATACATATTTATGTAATTGTAAATGTAATGCTCATTTTTTAATGTTTATTCCCTAATTAGATAAACAAGAATAAGCAAGTAAATAAACAAGTAAACAAACAAATAAACAAACAAAACATGCTTAACGACATATGCAAATATGATGATCGATTGTAAGATAATTACATAACTTTCTTCGTGTAATCACTTATCTATCTATCTATCTATGTCATGTTAGATGATTTTATCAATAATCAAAATCAAATTGAATTGAATACAGTAGATTTAAATATTGACAATGTTATTCATTCATCACCGTCATCATCATTGTCATCATCTTATGCAATATCATCTGTAGAGATTTGGGCACTTATATTAACATTTTTATATTATGCTATAATGATATGTTTAGGTATATTTTGTTGGTTAAATGCTAAACGTAAATATAAAAATCGTCAAAAAACAATAGATATTTCAACATGGTCACGTTTTCATATTGGTCCTAATCAATTACATATTAAATATACAGATGATGATGGTGATTCTATGGCTAATTAATTGATTAATTCATTAATCAATAATAAACCTATCCTTTTATTGATCTCTTGTTTTTTTTTTTGTTGTAAATGGAGCGTATATATCATCTTGTACAGATTATATTCATAGATTTCAAGATGAAAAATAACACTTCCACTTTATATACTTCTGTATGGGTATACTGAAATCAATCAGGATTTATAATTCAATGCCAAATTGTATATTATATATGTGTATATGATTAGTTCCTTTGTATAAACATGGATATATCTATATGTAAATTGAATGATGTAATTGTAAGCTATTATTCAATACTAAAGAAAAACAAGATATGTAGTTGATAAATAATGAAATATATATTTATATATTACTGAAATCATAATAGTCATTTTATATTTTTTAAAATATATTATAGTAATTTCAATAATTAAGATCATAAGTCTATTAAAATTAGATCACCATGGAAAACCTGGAAGTATAAGATGGCTGTTTCATCTTATTGTGGAACTCTTCAGCAATATGCGTCTATGATCTTGTACCGCGAGATTCGAACCGTGGATTCATCAATCTCACGCGCGAACATTTAACCACTAAACCATTGAGATGGTATCCAACGATGTCAATGTCTAACTTCAACTAATTTACGATATTGTACCACCGTCCATCATTGTCATCAGTGAGTTACTATCTCTAAGGTTTCCATGGTGGTCTAGCTTCAATTGACTCATGATCTTAACTAATGAAATTACTATAATATTCACAAAACCTCTTCAACCATAAATTATAGTCTCACTGTAAGATTATTGGTGGATATAATCTGTCAATTACTAGGATTATTTATCATTTACTAAATAGTAATCAATATTATATGGTATTAAGGCTAGTTAAATGAGATAGATTAGTTTATTTCACTTGATAAGTTATCTATGATGAACAAATTGAATTGGTCACATATAAGAATTGATGTTTTCCTATTGGTAATGTAAAGGACCTAAATTGACCAGTCTGTATTAGTATATGCTCATCCTGAGTGTATTTCCTTGAAGAAGTCCTGAAATTAGGAGTTTTCATTATGTGGGAATTAAGGCTAGAAATGACGACCTTTTTATGACTCGTTGATTGAATACATCTGTATCTGAGTGTTAATGTTCACAATGAGAATTGAACCTGATGTTCGTTGCTCCAATTGAAGCCATAGATATCTAATATATTGAATATTTTAGTAGCAATCTAAATTCAGTAACTCTGTGGATAATGCGTTAATACCTGAAATGATTCTAACTTGTTTTGAGTCATATTGTATATATCAACTCTGGGTTTCAGATAAAAACAGGAAAAAACTTACCTTTTGGATTCCATTGAATGTTAAATTCCAATGCAAATAAATATTAATATCTGAAGGGGTTTTATGAAGATTGTAGTAATTTCAATAATTGACATCATGAGTCAATTGAAACTAGACCACAACGGAAAACCTATTGTGAGGTTCCTCATCATTGCGCACCCACGATCCCACCTCGCGAGATTCGAATCCAGGACCTATCAGTCTCGCGTGCGAGCGTTTAACCACTAGACCACTGAGAATATCTATAAACTAATTACAAGTTAAGATGATTTTCAAAATGAATTAATTTGAACTAGTCACAGATTTATTACCAAGTAGCATTGAACAAATGCTTAGTTGTATTATAGGACATTATAAAAATCCAGACTTTGAGATCTAATAATGAGAGCGTTACCCTCATGTCATTTTATTGACATTCATCTGATGAATCTAATGAAGGACGAAACGCGCGTCCTGGATTCTACTGCTAGCCACCATCCATCTTTGCTTATAATGCTTGTGACTTGAGGTGACATCAAATCAATTTGCACAGGATGTGCATATGTCAATAAAATACTGACCATGTTCAGTCCCAAACATCAATAGGAAGATTCGAGTAAACAATACTCAATGAATATTTGCTTGTGTTTTAAGCACCACAAATTTCACGATTGAATGTAATTACAATCCCATTCTAATAGTTTTAAGCTACTTTCTATTTTGATTTGATTGATACTGTTTGTTAAAGTTTATAAGTCCTATTTCAAAAATTTGAAACGGTGAAGAAGATTTGTGAAGTTTTGTTCACTAAAATGGATGGTTTAGTCGTAGATCTTTCATTGTTCTTCTGAATAACATCATCAGCACAAACTTTAAGTAGTAGTATTTTAATTTCTCGATAATATGACTCCCAATTTGTTCTGTAGATCTCGATCGTAATTGACTGATTAGATGTACTGACAGGTTGAAACAATATATCTAACATGCAGGATAGATCAAATTTCATCAACATTCAGGATTAGATAAGTAGGATGGTGATTAATCTGTGTAAATGACTCACTCATGTAAAAACTGATTTGTTATAGTTATGGTTTAGAAGTAGTACTACTTAAGTCCAATAAATAGGAAGGAACATCAACACACTAGAATGAATATCAGATGGCAAAAATTTAATGTTTAAGGGCCTTTGGTGATTAGAATTAAAAATGTGATCTTTGAGTAATCATAATCAATATCATGTTTATACTACTTCACTAGTGTTTACCAAATTCTATCGATTACATTACATTGTAGTGGGAATTTATCTGAATAATCGATCAAATTTAATCAATATTTAGCATTAAACAAATATAACACTATTTACTAATCAGTAGTTAATAAGTTGTAAACATTATTGTTGGAAGATATGAGAACCAACAGCTGACATAGCTTCAAATTACCAACTGGTTGTGGTCAAGATGAAACTGAAGTTAAAGATCATACTGGACTGTTATCACTTGTGGATTTATTCCCTTATCAATATATCACGTAATGATTTCGTCAATTAGAGAACAGTAATTTATCAATCGGATCAATAATGTATAAAACAATTACGAGTAGTCTAAAGTTCTACTTTCTGCCAAGTCCCGCCTACTTAATTAGTTTAGAACACTAATATGTTTCATGCATAAATAATAACAGACAAACTCTGAATATAAATCGAACAGATCAGAGAAGTAGTAGTAGACTACTTAATTTCTGGCTTCACCCAGACGGTCTAGGTTCGACTCCCGGCACAGGTAAGTTGTCTGCCCCAAATGCTGTGGTACGACCGAGAGTGAAAGAGTACGCTCTCCCTTTCAAAATTCTTTCACATGGCCACGTGCATACAATCACTACATTGGAAGTCCTACTCACTGTCTTCTCACACTACGGATTGTTGCTTACGAAACTGAGAGTACGAAATGTGAATAACCGACGCTTTAACCGGGTTGGTGGACAAAAAGAGTTCACCTAGAGGAGTTGAAAAACCATCGTTTCAAATCAATAGTGCACATGGAGTTCAGGATCTCGAAGGAACAAACAGTGTATGAAAAGATCATTCGTCACTGACTATCATAGTGTAATGAACAAAATCACCAGTAGGGACAATTGAATGTATTTAGGCATATAATTACAGAGTATCTCAATAATATCTGAAAACCATATATTCAATCATTAATTTGCAAAATATCAATCCATCATATCAAACTTGACTGTTCCTGTTGTAAACATCAATCCATTGTCTCAGATTTCATTGTTCATGCATTTTCATACCAATTGCGTTTCATTCCCGTTCTTTTCTCATCGACCTTCTACTGATATATATTCTATACCTGACAACCGTCATATACTACTTCTATGGATATAAGTAAGCTACAACACAATTTGTCTAGTTTTACACTGTCCAACTGAATCAATGAATATGACCAAATTAGCTTAATAGTTACATTTATACCTTTGCAACTATATAATATTATTATTAGTATTATGTATAACCTCACACAAAGTATCAGTACCTTCAACATTATAGATAAGCTTCATTGAATTCTGATAAATACCATAGAAACATAGGTCAAAAAAAATAGTTAAATAGAATTTCCTGTTAATCTATTCTAATCAATTAGAATTTTATTTTAATTAAGTTTTTTTTTCTTTTTTATTAATTTCTATTAGTTATTATTAGATATTTCAACAACAACAAAAAAAAACAAAAAAAAAGAAAAAAGAAAAAAAGAAAAAAAAATCAATTAACTTAACGCCACTCCCCACCTTGCCTCCCTATTTAATTCAATATTCCCATAATTAGGTCAAGTTTAATATACTACTTATATATATATATATGTTTTTTTAATGATTATTCTCTTTGTTTTTGTATTTCATTTTTTTGAGAATTAAAGAAAAGAAAAAAGAAACTAACTGTTGAGAAAAATTTTGAAAATAGGATTGAAAAGAATAATTTTTGTCGTTGTTTTTTTTTCAATGGTTACGATCATGAGACAGTTGACGTTAGACCACCATGGAAAAACTGGAAGCACTGAATGGTCGTTTTGTCCTATTGTGAGACTTTTCAGCAATGCGCTTCCACTAAACTGTCTCACGGATTTCAATCCAAGACATATCAATCTCGCGTGTAAGCGTTTAACCACTAGACCACTGAGTTGTCCAGCATCCAACGGTGTTAATGTCTAGCTTCAACTAATCCACTAAATTGAGTGACACACCCACCATTGTCTTCAATGAGTTACTATCTCACAACAGACCTTGTTGAACTCCACTGATCACTACTTCTCACTAGAACTCCAGAATATCCCTCTTGAAGCCAGTTACTAGTGAGCATATGTTGATTATTATCAGAAGGGAGTTTTGTGGATATTATAGTAATTTCAATGGTTAAGATCATGAGTTGTTGTTTTAAAGAGAACAAGAACAAAGATTAGTGCAGTATAATGAATGGATTTATTTTGTTTCGTTAGGTTCTCATCAGCTGCTTACAACCTATCAGCGTTATTACAGATATTGACATAATTATGCATAAGAGGGTGATTAATGGATGAATAGATGTGTATCATGATGTAGCGAAGATTCTGATAGAGTTCAATTAAGTCATAAAAATTGTTTATTTCACGGATAAAGAAAGTTTTGGATGGAAGGTTCCAGAACATTGAAATAGTGATTA